GATCCCGTCGCAGTTGAATTCGTGCCGCTTGCAGCTGTTAGCCGCGGTGACAGATCAGGTTGTGTTGTTCGCGTCATATAAATTTGATATTTATTGTAATCCCAGCAAACACAATGTTACATGTATATGTATATAAAATATGTAAATATGTAAATAATAAATAAATTTATATGTTAAATGTTTTCCAGCTTCTAATGGTTTTTTTACTGGAAACATCATAAATTTCCGTTGCTTACAGTTTTCGAAAATTTTGTTTGCAATAAGAAAAAGTTAAGGACAAACAGTAAGAGCTAGCACAAACATATATCAAATAGTCAATTTAGAAAACAGGGAAAGTTCTTTTATTCACTGTCATTGTTATTTAAGGTTGCTTAAGGTTGCTTAAGGTTTACCACTTATATCGCAGGTCATAAAACTATTCACACAAGAACAATGTTATCTTTTTCAAGATTGAGTTTTTGTCGAAGATATAATACATTCTAATCTCAAAGAATTCAGTATTCTGTATTCAGACGGAGAGAACATTTATGTTTGAGAAAAAAGGAATTCTTCTCAAGGACAAAAAAATCCCACAATGGCAGTAAATAAAAAAACTCTCTCTTTTTTCTAAATTGACTATTTGAAATATGTTTGTGCTAGCTCTTACTGTTTGTCCTTAACTTTTTCTTACTGCGAATAAAATTTTCGGAAACTGTAAGCAACGGAAATTTATAATGTTTCCAGTAAAAAAACCATTAGTAGCTAATAAATCGAAAACAGATTTTCTTTAAAAATGTTATTAATGTATTCTTTAGATTATCACAAAAATATAATTTTTATAGACAAACTTGTGCATTACAAATATCGTATTACAACTAACATGTACGTTATATGTAACATTGTGTTTGCTGGGAATATAATTTGTAAAAACTAGTATTATAATATAAATTGTAAATACAACGAAAAGGCTAAAGTGGCGCGCGCGAAGCGCGCGCTATGTAGTATTCTAGTATCATAAATTCCGACTGAAGTAACCCGAATTCTTTTTAAGGTAACAAGGTCTCGCTTTTGGTCGACTTAAACAGAATTCGTTACTTTAATCGGAATTTCTGGATCGTTCATATTCGACCAGATACTTGGTTAATTCAACCAAACCTTTTTTTCATGTGGAATTGCTAAATTGCGAGAGAAATCTATACGTGCAGCGAGTCGGACAACGAATTTCGTATTTATATGAGCGAGTACCAAATAAAGCGCGAGTTTCCATTCTGTAACAATTTGCACAAAATTCACCACTCACCACTCGTATCGAGCGCATCGCTCGTTTTGGCGGATTTCTCTCCGAGAAAACCGAGTCATCTCGAATTCTGCCAACAATTATTCCAACAACACCACAGCGTCATTCTTTAATTCCCCAATTATCCTGCAATTAAAACGATAGAACGTTAGCTTGACAAACTGAAAATAATCAAAGTTTCTAAAAAGTTGTCCCACAAAATTGTATGACAAATTATTAACAACTTCACACGAGAGATATTTCGGGAATATTTCAGGAGACTGTCTCCGTACGCAATTTTCGGAATTGTGACTTTTCGGAACAGTGGCGTGCTTCAAAAATATCTCGAGAAAATTGTATTTCGATACATTTTGTCTCGATATTAAAGTTTCGGGATTGTGAATTTTTAAAACGTGGATTTTCAGAATAATAAGTTCATTTTTAATGCTTTCGAATAGAATCATGTATTTTGTATTCATATTCTAATAAACGCTGCCGAGATCAATTTCGCAATTTAAAGCAAAAGGTCATTCGAGTTTAGCGAAGAGAGACGAGACGCTAACCGATTCTCCAATATTCAAGATAGAATTTCTTGGAAAGACGAAAGAGCCCGTGTGTGAAAGAAAAGATCTTATTCTAAGCCCTTAAGTTATATTTGCGCGCGAAAAATCATCCTCTTTCCAATTACGCCACAACCTGCTTGAGAAGTTTCAAGTCGACCACTTCGAGTAACCTCAACGTAACGAAGAAGTACTTAGCACTTGCTTCTCCCGTTTACGGCAAATATCCAGAAGCTCTCCAATAAAGATATCTCATAAACTACGTCCCACGAAAGTGTCAATTCGATAAGAGAACATAATAATAATAGTGATCGCTAGTGGGTGCTCTCGCTTCTTTCCTCCCTCACCTCTCTTCCTGTATCTCTTTTTATTCGAACATTACGTCATTATTGAGCATAATCGAGTCGCATATTTACGAGGGCGTTCTTCACGTCATGTTCTTTAGATGTGAAATTGAAGGGTCATCACATATACGCAATCGAAATAGCAATGACAAGGGTCGATTCCCGAGACAAAATAAATAACTGTCGTGGGATCTATCGAATTATAGCTTTCAAGAGCTAGAATGCATTGATGTGAAAAATGACGCAGGTGACATGACGTCAAATACACAACGCCAAAAAAATCAGAGACCCTTGTCTAGTCTTCAAATAAATAATCGTACAACCTACGTGAACGTAACGTCACGCGTTCGCGAGCCCTGAAAGATTGAGACGAAACTGAGAAGTGCGCCATCAGGCATGCGAAATCGATATTTCAATGATAAAGGTCATGCAAACCTCATTAATGTCGCGTCACGTGTCGGCGAGTAATAAACGATCAGTGCGCCAGCAAATATTTAAACGCAAAATTCCAACGACAAGAGGCTTTTCTACTATCATAATAAGCAATCGCCGTGCAAACCGTATTAACGTAGCTTTCCGCGTTCTCGTGGGAAATAAGTCTCGAAATTTCGACGCAACTCTGACAGACGAAATTCCAGGTCCACAACGAAAATCCCGAAGACAAAAGCCTCTTCTGCCCTCATATTAAGCAATCGCCATGCAAATCGCTTGGTGAGCTCCCAATTCCATTGTGTCTAAGTCGTTTTGAAACCCACGTGTGTTTATTTTACTCAGGAAGATTTCAGAATACATTTTTGTAGATCTATATGTGCAAGAAGTATAATAAGAGTAGTATGATCGCGTGTTGCTACTCATCTGACATGACGTTTTGACAATCGCCCCTGCTTCATCGATATTTTTGGAATTTGCCATCCACTTTCATTTGGTATCCTCTCAAGACAATGTCTCGAGTAACCTTGCTTGCGCGATGATACGCGAAGTAAACAGTGTTACCAGGAAAATTCTAATCTGAATACGAGACGACACAGAGATCAAGAGTTACACAGCTTTCCTCGAGCTTCCGAGTATCACATCGGATGACAAAATTCACAATCACGGAAAAACAATCGTGGAAGGCCACTTTCCGCGAATGACAAATGTTCTGAAAGTTCAGTGGCGGCTTGGCAGACGATCCATGCATGCCGTAATCGTGCCAGCGCGAATTCGCGAAATTCACGAGACAGACAATAGAGAGGCGTCTGGTCTTTGTCGGCCTCTCCGATATAGATACAGAACTGAGAAACAATAAACCGCTATAAAGTTCCTCATCTACGCTTATTTCTCGCGGCAATAATAAAGGTCAGGCAATCGCCTTGGGAATTTTTACATTCCCGTAAATTAAGTCCACGCGCATCCTCATAAGATATCCCCGGAGATACGTACGTGCACGCGAAAGAGTTCGATGACGCCCGTACATTTCTCTATCTTGTTTTTTCTGTTTCCTCATTGTTTTCCTCATTTCCTCATTTCTCTTTCCTCGCTGTTCCTCGAAATTTGCCGACGTTAAGGCGTTATCGTGCGAGCGCGACGATTACCAGGCGGGTCGATTTGCGACGATTGCACAATGACTCGCACTTGCACTTTACATCTATTGCGAGCGTTTCTCCTATTTATATCTTTAATATCCGGCTGTGGTGCACAGTACGAACATCTCTATGGACTTCGTATACTTGACACACATTTTAAAAATACTTTCAGGTGCAAAATCGGCCTCGCGACGGACGCGTAATCCGCATTATTTAACAACTCTCTCGCGAGGAATTTGAGAAAATATTATCGAGCGGGATACTTTGCAGGGAAGAGATGAATGGGAAATTCAAAATAGGTTCGATTGTTTGAATTTCCACCACATGGATGACAATAATTAAAAACAACTTCTGTCGCGGTACGATGGGTACGCGAGAAAGAGAGAGAGGGGAAAGAGAGAGAACAATGAGTTCTAAAAGTGAGTCGTCTCGCGCAGCGTACGTTCCTCTTTTATTTCGCTCGATATTTATGGGAGTTGGAATATTAAACCGGCGGCGCGAAAAGTCAATAAATCCACTTTAAGTCGATTCATGTCAATAACCCATTCCTACAAAAATATACTCCGCGGACTCGAGTTGCACCAAAATGGCTTTATTTTGCAAAACTCACCGTCGGCGAGAAAATAAAGAGCGTTTTCAAAAAATGAATACAAACCGTATACTCATTTTTTTCTCTTTCTTTTCGTCGAGAATATAGTTAGCTCTAAAAATCCCCGAGAAATAATATCGCCTCGACTGCTCGTCGTTTTACCGCGCGTCCTGCTCGCTCGCAGGAATCCTCATTGCTCACTCACGGTTATCGAGTCCTTGCTCCTAAATCCCGAGAATGCGTCACGGATACAGCGATATCCTCGATCGCGGACAATTAACGCGTGCTTGCGCGACATGGCGCGGGCGAAATTAGAAAAATCAATTTTTTGCGTCTGTCGCCCATAGCTTTTTACGGTCAAACGAGGAAAAACAGATAAACCGATGGAAACAGAGCGTCGCTATTTAAACACGAGTATGGCAATCCGCGAGACTAAAGATATCCCACGACGTAGAAGCGATCAATGGCTACACGTGGAGAAGAGCTCTTTCTCTCTCCTTCTCTCTCTCTCTCTCTCTCTCTCTCTGTCTACCTGCTGCAAATCCAGTCTCGCAGCGAACCTCACCTCTATTCATCCAAGTATTCCGCTCATGTAACATGCGACTCGCCGATTCGCGTAATGCGCTCGTCGTATTTTTTAAAAAAAGCCACGACGCACGACACACGGCGTTACGCTCGTTCTACCCTTCTCTATACTCGATATCGTCGAGTGCACCCCGCACCCTTTTACAATCTACGTCTGCGCGGCTCCCTGCGGCCGCGTCTATAAAAGCGACGCGGAGCGTCACGACGCTCCAGACGTTGAGGTACGCGCGCCACGGGAAATGTGATCGAGCGTCGTCGTCGCCGTCGTCGTTGTCGTCCTATCGATACCTCGCTACCTCTAGTCTCTATTTCTGTGCCGTCTCTCTCGGCTGACACCTGCCCGAAAGCGAGAGAACACGGTTGACATAATTCCGCGAAACTCCATCGCCGATTTCGTTCGGCATTCGTGACACTTGTGACCAGCCAACGTACGCGTGTCACTACCTGAAGATGTGAAGGAGGGAAGTCGCGCTTAATGACCGGTCCTGATCGAGAAAGAGAAAGGGAGGAACGAGGAAGAGAAAGGGAGTGATTCATACGCGCACAGTTACTGACGTATTGCCGTTCGCCGTTTATTGTGCCAGTGTGCAGTGACGTTTCTGTCGATCGCCGTACGGATTTGTCTCTGTCGTGGTATGTATTTATCGTGCTGTCACCTCACTTGCATGAATTTCATTCGAGCGACCCTGCACGGGCGACTAATACCGCTGTGAATCTCAGCCCTTGCGAATTTCCTACCAAACGAATATCGCGATTATGATGCCATTCAGAAAAATTCGTTGGAATTTAATTTCACGAGGTAGTAATAATTATGACTTTTCACGGTACTTTCTTTTCTGCATATTAATACCCGGACAGCACAAGTGTCTAAAATATATCGTACAGATCCTAAGGACGTTTAAAAGTAAGATATCGTCCAAACTCTCTAAGCAGTTCCTTAGGCATTTATGCTGCATGGGTATTAATTGCAAAGCGGCGTTCTTGCGTCATACATTCAAAAAAGTTTCTCGCTGTACTCGCTGGCGATTACAAAAACATGCAAAATACAAAAGTGGCAGTCGATATAAATTTCTGCCATTACGATTATCCGTTCACGAAAGATCTCCTCGGGAGCTTTGATTCATTGGTCAGTGTACAATTTATAAATTATCACAGCGTCGGCATTTAATGACAAGTGCGAGAAGCTTTGATAACTCGTTGATGAAACACAATTGTGCCAAAACCTGCTTGAGAAATTTCAAGTTGTCAACGAGGAATCAATATGCACCGTAATCGGTACTCTGGTTCAGCTTCGTAAAGATTTCAACATGTTAACCATTCCATAAAGATCTCCGGGACACTCGCGGCGCGATTAATTGCTCATTGGTGGTTTCTGCATACGCGTGTCTGCTAAACCGCTTCGTTAAACGCACGCAAGCAAGCCAAGATGTACACACCGCTAACCGCGCCGGCGTGTATTAAAATACACGTAGTAAACGTAAACGCTAAATATACCCGCGCCTCTGAGACTTGTCGGAATTAACCGGTCCGAACTGACGATAACACGAAAAAAGAACCGTGACACGAAACAATGAGCGGAAAATAGGCGAACGAGCGCGGATTGTCTGCGATTCATCGAGATGAACATCACGAAAAAAGAAGAGCATGTTAAATTAAACACGAGCCACACTTGTGCGTCTGTGTAGGCGCGTATGTGAACGCGCGGGGGACGCCACACACTAATGAATACGTAATTCGCGCGCATTCATAATTAAAACGAGAAGCTCGCAGTCCGGCCCTGATATGGCGTGTCGAATTATTAAAATACACGTGATCACGTCACCCACGAGGTCCGTACTGTATTCGTTTCGTCACACGATCACGTTCACACCGACTATGTGTGTCCCGAGTCGTCTCGAATCGTGCACGAAGCAACGAACGCGCGTCTGTTTCTGCACCGCGAATTCAAGCGTGTTATTTTGGCTGAATCTCTTTTTACACGTTTCTTACCGTTCTAAGACACGTCATTTATACGCGCTCAAACGTATTAAGTTACAATTCACATGTCTTAAACGCGCTAATTGACGTGGCTTAAGAAAAAATCTCTCAAATTACACGTCGAAAAGAAAGCTGTCAAATTACACATTGAGACATATGTTTAACTTGGATTCGCGATGTGCGCAGCTTAATCGATGTCCGGTTACACTAACGTCAATCAAGTCCTTTAACCTGAATTTAAACTATCTTCAGACCAAAACTTAAACTGAGGTTAAATAAACGTTTAAGGACGTTGATGGAGTCGCTAAATTGCTTATTAGCGAACTGCAACGGATAACGCAAAGCACATCCTGCTTTGAAATCGTGGTAAACTCCACGGCTTAACCGTAAAATCTTGCCGAACTCTACTTCGGAGCACTTTTCCGATCATACTTCAGACGTTAGGTCTGCTCGTTTTCGAAGAACTCCTAGACTAGTGCCGTAAGTTAGAGTGAAAGGAAGTACACTCGTTTCACCCTCACTTATGGCACAAGTGCAGAGATTCTTCGAGAACGAATACACCTATAGACGACACGTCGGAGACAACGTGGTTTTCCGTTTCTGGAAAAACGCATCGCTGCGTTTCGGACGGAATTCGCGCTCTCTCGCTCGGGGGTGAAGTTTCGGGGGGTTCGGCGCCGACCAGGCTCGCACACCGTCCACCAACGTGGTCCTTGCTATTGATCTAGGGAGGCTCTAAAGCGAGTTCGCCCGACCACCCTCTCGCGCCCAGTTTCGCTCCCCGTTGCAGCGCGAGAGCGCGGCTCTCTGCAACGGGAGCGGCACGAGGGGTAGCCAGATTCGTCGAGTGGCGAGCAGTGGAGCGAATACGAGGGATCGCCGGCCCGGTGGCGGCGATCCAAGAGTTCCCCGCCACCTCCCGCATGTCGCCGGCTGAATTATCGATCTTCGAGACGATCGTAAATCCTGAGCGGAAGCGCAAAACCCGCCCGATCGCGAGGCGAGAAAGAGAGAGAGAGAGAGAGAGAGAGCTCACAATGCGACGCGGCCGCATCCGCGGAGCCGATGACGCACGTGCGGCTCGGAAGAGATCGAATTTGGCGTCCGAGAGTCGGGGCTATCGTCGGCTAGATCCGCTTCTGCTTAATGTAACCATTATGCAACTCGCACGATCGATAAGTACCGATAAGTGAGTTCGCCGGGAGCCGAAAGACGAAAATAAGTTAGCGCAAAATCCGACAGCACATGCTGCTGGACGCATCACGCGCGTGTTCCGAGAACGGAGACTGATTTACGCGCCGTTATTTCGCGAAGTGGGACACGCTGGCTGGCAAGGAGGCGGTGAATATTGTCTTCTCGAGGGAGGAAGCGTGGGAACGCTCCTGAATAGTCGTCGTGGCGTAGCGTTGACGATCGTGGGCGTATGAGATTCGTTCGCCGTTGTAGGACGGACAAGCGATGCTTGATGTTTCTTCAATAAAGCGTCACCCAAGCGCGAAATCAACGCGCGAACGTATTTCCGACGGATGAAATTCCAATTTCCTCGCTAGAAATGGACGGCGCAGCTCGTACGAAAGTAGCGAGAGACGAACGTCTATTACGATGACGATTGAAATCAATTGAAACACTCCCAAAGCATAATACGATTAAACACACTTTAAAATAAATTAATTCATTCAGAGACGCAAATTAAACACACATTTTAATTAATACATAATAATTCAACGGTCGTGGAATATAAATTCTTAACGACTTTCGCGAGATTTCTCATCGTCCACGTCACGATTAAATTAGAAGTTCGTAAATAAGCGTTCGCTCTTTTCTCATTGCAGATGAAGCTACACGAGAAGAAAGAGTCCGGCATCCACAGGGTGCAGGAGGTGCCGCTCGAGGAGCTGGAGCTCTCGAAAGAATACAACGTGGAGAAGACTTTGGGCGAGGGTAGTTTCGCGAAGGTCTTATTAGCGACGCACAGGGCCACTCAGACTAGAGTGGTGCTGAAGGCGGTCCATCAGGAGCTCACGTCGGAGAAGGATTTTTACCGTGAATTTCACTACTCCTACCACTTGAGCCCACATCCTAACATCCTCTGCTCGTACGCGGTCGCCTTCAAGGCGGAGAAGTGTTTCGTCTTCGCGCAAGAGTACGCACCCTACGGTGACCTCGCGGGCAACGTGAAGGCCGGCGGGCTGAGCGAGGACGCGTGCAAGAGGATTGCCGGCCAGCTCGCCTCCGCCCTGGATTTCATCCACTCGAAGCAGCTGGCGCATCGCGACATCAAGCTGGAAAATGTACTGGTGTTCGCGCAGGACATGACGAAGGTGAAGCTCTGCGACTTCGGCTGCACGAGACGCGAGGGCACCCTGGTGAACAAGATCCGTTGCACCTGGGTGCCGTTCCAGCCGCCTGAGATCCACGAGGTCATCAAGAACGAGCGGTACGCCTGCAAGAGGAGCTCGGACTGCTGGCAGTTCGCCATCGTGCTGTTCGTCTGCCTGACCGGCAATCCGCCATGGCAGAGCGCCGATTCGATTCAGGACCCGGACTACTCGGCCTTCCAGCGATGGCTGAAGAGACGCACCACCAAAATCCCACCGACGTTTAGACGGTTCACGCCGCGACTGCTGCGCTACTTCCGCCGCGCGTTCGAGCACAAGTCGGAGAAGAGGCCGCACGTTACCGAGATCAACAAGTACCTAAAGGACTCATGGTGCATCAGCAAGATCAGCCACAGCGCGACCTCCACATCGGTCGACGTGAGCGAGAGTCTGGCGAGGCGCGGCGACAGTCTGCTCTACCTCGACACGATCTTGGATGACCGGCATCACTTCGACGAGAACAAGAACAAGCTGAGGAAGCTGCTCAACAGCTATGGCCTGGAAACCACGGTGGACCAAAAGGTCGTCACCAAAAGGATATGGGAGTGGGTGATGCAATGCGACTCCAACGTGGGCGAGCCTGGTCTGATCAGCGGTTATAGCACGGAGGATATGTGAGAGATAACAAGGACCTGCAGCGAGCCGTGCCTTCGGCCCGCTCAGGAGGAACTGAGGAAGTTCCGAATGGGCAGCCTTCACGTGCGGACCTCGTACGGATGTGCCAAGTAATTCGAGGGAATCACGAGCCGGAGTAGTTCACGAAGTAGCATGAGCGAGCCAGGGAGTGCTCCCCACTACTCGAGGAACGGAACACGGCTGCACCGATGTTCCAGAGTGTCGAAAATTCTATATATATATATATATATATAGACGGACCAATTAGCAACACAGACTTCCTTGATTAGCGAGAGAATGAAGATTCGAGAAATGAGAATGTTCGTAGAGAAAGAGAGAGCGATCGGCGAGTTAGATAAAGATAACTCCCGCAATGAAGAATCCCAGAAGAAGATGTCCATGTCCAAGACACGTTATATAGATTCCTGAGAGACGTCCTGATCTCTTGACCGTCTCTTAGATGCCTGTGAATTTCGCGTTGTATTGGGGCCTCGCGAAGAAAGATACAAGATGGTCTCTCGAGGTATAAGATGCTCTAGCAATTAATTGTAAATGTGATATACACGTATCTAAGTAGGTAGACAGACAGAGATTGCAAGAATTCGCTCTTTAACCGAGGCAAGAGCGGTGTTGGAGGTCAAGCTGGCGATTAGCTCGGTGTACTAACTGTAGAGACAATAATACTGGCGCGTATAAGATTTACGTCACGTTAGTCAGTTAGTTATGTTAGTTCCGATGGTAAACTGATGATCTTAGCGATGCCTTATGCGCGACTAGACGCGAGGTTAGAGAAAGAGAGAGAGACAGAGGGAGAAAGAGGGAAAAAGAGATAATCACTTACAGATATTTTATATATTGTCAAAATCTGAGTAAAGAATAAAAAGATACCCGTTTTCGTTCATGTGATAGCGACATAACTATCAACAACTCTGTCTCTCTCTCTTTCTCTTTCTCTAGGCAAGAGACGAATGAGCGAAAAGACTGTATAATCCAAACCTATAGGTCGGAGATAATCTGTTCTATCCAGTGAAATCGGACGAGAATGACCAAAAGTTCGAATTTTCCGCTGCGCGACCCCACGAGAAGCCCGCAACGCACGCGTTGAGTCACCCTTAAGGACGATAGACCGAGACATGATACACGTTCGTTAAACGTACACTGAGAAAAGGTGCACTGAGAAAAATTTGTTTGTGAAATATAAAATTCCACGAAATAAAGTTTGTTTCTGCGAAATGAGCTTTATTTCTGCGAATGAACCTTTTATCCCGCAAATAAAATTTCACATGTTTCTCTCTCAGTGCAAATTTTTCAGGAGAAAGTGCCGTAAAGCTTAGGAAACCGACATAGTCGTAGCGAATACGCAAGTACAGGGATCACACATTGCGAGGACGGACGATTACACTGAATACTACTACTAGATTCGTTCACGGCGACGCGCAATCATACAGATGTAAATACATTTCTACACGTAGAGACAGATATACACCCGCGCGTTCGCCGTTCGTACGTGTACATAATACATATACGTGTGTACGTATATATGTAGCCATATGTATAGTACACATATATTCTTGTAGCGGTTTATGGTGTAGCGCATAGGGATTCCGTTTGTACGATTAGTTACGCCACTTCGTAACGGTGATATAGACGTAGCGCGTAATTCGTAATTTCACACACGCTGCGACCCCGACGACGGTCGTAATGGTCTCGCAAACGACCCCGCAAGTTCGGAAACACTCACGGATAACGACGCACGAAACGAGCTCGTTTTCGCGAATGGACGCCGCGAGTCGGTTGCGAAATTCCTCGCAGTTTGCATCCAGCGGGAAAGGTGTGCGCTGATCTTGAGATCAAAGAGTCGCATGACAATTTCAATCATAATTATCGCAGACAATCACAGTTAATGGTAAATTTCGACGATAATTCTGGCGAATCTAATCTTCCCGAACGCTGTCTAGGTGAGATCACTAGCAAGAAGCTAAATGATACTTCGCAAAACTCGAGCGTGAAGGATGCAAACCTCTCTCTCCTTTGTCTCCTTTGAATTTCACAACCTAATCGTTAATCGAATGAACTGCACGCTGGTGAATCGGCTTTAAAGGACTACAGTCGGGGTCTTGCGAACGCGTGTTTCGATACATTTGTACGCTGAATGTGGAAGAGGCGTTGCGACGACGCAGGTAAACAATTCCGCGATTATCTCATCACCGCCGCTTCTATTGTCCGACGCGTAATAAGTGACTATCAAAGACGTGTTGAATAGGTAACGAGATACTTCGCGTGGAAGCCGACGTATGTGGCCTCCGTCGGCGCAAGAAGCGTGATGTTTTGTATATATTGGAATAAATCTTGAAATTGTACAAAATGGAAATACGACGGGTGGTTATTTTCCTCATGTCAACTCTCAGCTACTAGCACCGCATTCATCCCGAAATTAAACTAGCAATTGGAATGTATCAACGTTCGATATTTCTTACGCACACTCGGACACATGATTCGCGTAAATAAGTCGACAAATGATAAATTACATTTTATTATTCGCGTTATCAATATCAATCAGACTCGAGCTGGACCGGATAAAAGTGTGCTTTCCTCGAGATAAAATTTCTCCACTCAAAGTTCACCCCCGCAAATAGTTAGCCCACCACTACCACCTCCCGCCCACGCGGGATAATTCTTCAAATAAAATTCACGCGCAACTCTCGAGGAAGAAAATAACGGAAATTGGATCACGAAGAGACACAATTACAGGCGTGTCATTCGGAACTTTCGACACTACGTGTCTCGCACACGACGATAAAACAGGGATGGTTAGCCACTGCTCGTGGGTGTCGCTATGGCGACGAACCCTGGATACCCGGGCCAGCTGAAAGCGAAGTACCACCCTCGCCTTGTCCCCTGTCTGTTCGTCTGTCTCTGTCTGTCCCAGTATCCCCGCTTTCTCTCTCTCTCTCTCTCTCTCTCTCTCTCTCCCCCTCCTTCTTTCTCCTTGTTCCCGATATTCGTACACTGCGTCCGTCGCTGCGTCGTAGTAACGTAAGCATGCGCGCAGCTGTGGGGTCATTAGTGCTCGACTTTAATTAGGTAAGTATATCCTGAAATCGACTTGACCTTGATATCGGGGTGAGAGAACACACGAGAACCTGGAGAGAGACTTCAGCCATACAGCTGCAGTTCTCTTCAGGAGCACAACGCGGGTAATGAGTCTCATGTGAAACTTGATCTCGCGGGATTGCAAAAGTTAGTCTAATTACATCCGCGTCTCGAACTTTAAATTTCTTCAGTGGTATATGAGAGAGCACGAGCCATGCAACAAACGATTCCCGGTTAAGACAGTGTTCTCATGCAATGTTAAAAAATCAAACAAATGCGCAACATCAACTTAATTTAATTTACAGTATGATCAAAAAGTTTTAGAACAAAGTAAAAAAATGCGATACTACATGAGAACCGAAACTGTTCAATTTTTTGAGACACATGAGTGCATTCTCACATACATTCTGCAACTTTCCCGAAATAAACAGAGTAACTTTTAACATCCAGGGACACTTTCCAGAGCTTTGAAATAGTGTCCAAAAACTTTCTCTAACAGTACTGTAAATAATTATCAGGAAAAAAGAAAGTCTAGGTTTACTAGGAATCTATCTTTCACGTCTAGGTTTGACGTGAAAGATAGATTCATCGCGTACGTTGTAAGGAAAGATTTTAGCGCGCCTGTCAGACATTGTGTTAAACACTCGCACCAAAGACTGCTGATTCGTTGGCAATACGAATTGATTTATCGTTTTCGGTATACGAGTCCAGCGCCTATTGGCTCGCGTATCTAAAAGCTGTTGGCAACTAATCACGCACAATTATGAGAGACTTGAGTTCCTGACTAACCAAATGACTAACCAATAATTAACACAAATGCGTATAATACGTGCCGATTATAGCTAGCAATGATGCATGAATAATGCCGATGATGCACCACTGAGGAACTCCGGTTCTGATTACTATAACAAGACAATGGCAAATAGCGTATATAGAAAGGACGCTACGTGTCCCGAAGTTAGATCGGATGGGGTGCCGACCTTCCTCCTCAATTTCTGTCCTCTTAAAACGTCTATCTAGTATACTTATGTACTTAGGGCGTGCATCTGAGCGTGACACAGTGAATAGATCGGGTCCGTGGTTCCCCGTGGACGTGGTTCGTACACTGCTCGCGGTACACGTGTCACTATTAAGCTGCTCGTCCTCCAAAATATATCCCGCGTTGCTGAATTTATTCATTGTCCTGTTCCTTATTCATCGTGGCTCGCTAAAGGGATCACGGAAAAAAAGGATTTGCTGCATCAGCAAACTAATTTGCTATATATTTGCTATATATAGATATTATAATTCGGTGTGTTAGCTACTTTTTCTTTGTTGCAGGAACCTATTTCCTTGCTATGATAAAAAAAATTTTTCTCCTACAGTAAGAAAAGTGATTAACGCAGCGAATTTGCTACAAATGGACAACTAAACATAATTTACTACTTTAATTTAGGTACTTTAATTTAGCTACTTTAATTTAGGTACTTTTTTTGTTGCAGGAGCTGATTTTCTTGTTATCCTAGCAAGAAAAATAGCTCCTGCGGCAAAAAAAAATGGCTAACATAACAAATTATGTTTAGTTGTCCATATATAGCAAATCTTTTTTTTCCGTGATGGAACAGATGTTGGTTACGTATATCCTATGAGAATGAGGTAGCACTTTCTCTCTCAAGGGCTCTTTACGGGAGTCCCGCTTTACAATGAGAATGTCAAACATTTGCCCTTCCATTCAAACATTATTCTAACATCCAACGCACGACTCTTACAGGCCTTATCTCTCTCAATTTGGTTCCATACAACATGGTTCACACGTTCATTGCTTTCTCCCTTGTTTCTTCCTTACAATCCCTCTTTCTCTCTCTCTCTGTTTTTCTCTCTCTTCGAGTTCGCGAAGAGTTTTGCAATACCGGCTGTTCGAGGCCATTAGTTACGCCACTGACGTGCTCGCATCAAAAGGATACACCGATGCGCACCCGCGTTCCATCATCCTTCCTTCCGATACGCGCGTATTTCGGACACGCGTGCTGCTATTTCCATCCATGTGGCGAGTATTCTCGGCGGCTTGTTTTGACAAGCACCGAACCGACTGGGATACTCGACGGGACGTTATCTTCGCGAAGCGGACATCAAGTACATACACAGCAGTCGTGTTGTTTAAACGCGTAGTAACATTGCGTTACGGCGAGAGATTCGGTAGATTGGCCGGCGCGCCAAAGTAAAGCGAGTACACACGTGCAACAACACACTAAAAATCAGAAAAAGGACATTTTAACGGACATCTCGCGAATACTATTGTTCGTTTAGCGTTTTTATCGCGCGGCGCTTAAGGAAGAAAATATCTTCAAAACCTTAAAAAATTTCAAAAATTCTTTTTTTTATAAGATAGTACAACCTCTCAAGAATATTATTCCAAAGTTTTAAAGCGAAAGTCCTATTGTTATAGTCTGTGAAGGTGACCCATCCTTACTCGACGCCAGAGCGCGCCGCAGGTATAAAAACCTTTCACAATCCCTTTCATAATCCCTTTTTTTCTAATTCCATTAGTTAGTTATTTGTACCGTTAGATCGGATAGAACAGATGTTTTGAAAGAAGTGAACAAACCGTCCTTCCCTTTAAAAAAAATTCATAAAAGTTGTCTCATCTTCACCCGCATAAAAGTATTTCCTTCCCTCAACGCTTACCCGGATAAATCGATAGCGACGTTAACTTTAGATACGTTCTATCTTCTGCTTACTTGGTAATTCAATAACAGAAGTAAAAAAGAGAGAGTATGTAAGTAGAGAGAGCTAAGATTGGTCTGATGTAATAATTGATCGAATAAAAATCTAGAACAAAAGCTGATCGATCGTATAATATAATTACCCAACATTTGCCTCTGTTGCAATAAACGATCATTTGAGATATATTTGCAAGAAATGCCCGGCTCTTTACATAAAAGAATTTCAGTTGATATTGCACACACACATGTAGGATAAGACCATTGTGGATAAATATTGTAAAACGATAGACACATAGTCAATCCGAGTAAAGGTAAAAGCACCAATGCCTGGACACGTATTTAACTCAGGATATTCTTATCGTGTTGGCCTTTAAATACAAATATTTATCTTTACAACTATTTATCTTTACAACTATATTTATCTTTACATATAAAATACAAGATGTCCGCAAACATATACAATATTTTTTAATAAAATCGAGTAGGTAAAAAAAAATTATATAAACTTATGTTCGAAAATGCTTTATTAGAAAGTTATCAACATTCAAAGATTTTACGAAATAACTGGCTATAGTTATACAAAAATTATCTAACCCACAAACTTATGATTTTGGAGTTTCTGCTATCAATGCGTAGCTCATACGTCTTTCTACGTAAGACAAAAAAGATTCAAGCCTTATGGGCGCCTGAAACTAATTAAAAATTAGTTTTATTCTCTACTAGTTGCGTCATTAAAGACTACAACAATAAGGATGTCCAGGGTTAGTCTTGTTACTTTTACCTTGATTCGCGCGTTTGCGTGCTCGCACATAGAAAAAAAAAAGAACAGGCCCTACCGGACACTCAAAACGAAGGGATTAAATCTATAATTGTATAAAGAGCGCAGATACCGAGAGATAACGTAAGTGCCTGACGCCCGGGTGCAGACGCGCTGTCTCGACGAAGTCGCGTAACGCGGTTACTTGTCGAAAAATAAAGTCGGGCAAGCCGCCACCGGGAACGAGCACCGCCATCGATCCTCCGGTCCAACGCCCCGGTGTCTATTTTCATACCGCCCAACCTATTTATATATCATCATACGGACAACGTTCCACTTGTATCGGCGCGCATCGCTGCAACCAGCCGCATCGGTCGCAGCGACGCTTTTCAACACCTTAACACCTCTCTCAGACACGAATCTGTTCGTCGAGGGAGACGTCTGAATTTCTAAGAATTCTGAAGAATCGTTTGCACGTAACAACGAGAGAATTCGAGGTTTTCTAAAAATTTCTGAACAGTTTCGTCTAGAAAAATGAAATATCGTTTCCCAGAAGTAGCCGCGTATTTGAAGACTGGTGAAGGATCATTCCGTGAAGTCAACTGGATCTTAATGCCGAAATGACGATGAATTTTGCACTACGTATATATATATATATTTTTTTTTTTTTTTTTTAACACAAGCTAAATCAGATTATTTCTAATATCTACATTTGAATGTGTTTTATTTAGTCAAATCCTATTAAAACATAATAGAAAGAAAGCGACGTGGATAAAAAAAATTCGAGATCAATCTGAATTCGAAAAGATCTGCGGATTT